CCAGCATACCTCAAACCAATATCTAGGGAATATCTTCCGTTTATGTGTCAACCAAATGTGTTTATAATAATTTCACAAATTTCTGCAATGATCCCCTAGAGCGCAAATAATCTTTAACGATGATGCAGCAACATATCGTTGCCTGATCTTTGCTCTCGAAGGTGAATGAACTGTAAGGAATATGGGAAAACTGTCAGGGGCCAGGTAAAAAACGGATATTCCTCCCCTCTGCAAAACGCCTTGTTAAAACGAAAAAACGAAGATTCTTTTTAGAGGATTTTGTCCCTTCTTTTGTCAACCTAAAAAAAGGTAACCGTAAGATAGGGAGAAGCAGCGAAATGAACGCAAGATGCGCAACTAATTTGAGACTTGGAAGGAGGCATAAATGAATTGGGAGCAGAGCAACCCCTAATTTGCATGGGGTCCTCAAGAATCTAACAACATCTATCATCTGCTCCATATACAGACGCTCGCTCTCGATCTCTCACACACACACACACCTAATCAAGCAATTTTTCTATCTATGCGAGGAGAGTGTATTAAGTTCAGATTCCGTTTTTCCGATCATTGAACAATCACGCTCCTCATCATCTAGCCTTTTGCACATTGAACCCAAACCCGAACTGTTCTCTTCTTTCTTTCACTTTATGTAGTTTTTTTTTTGCTTTTTTAATTACAAACAAGGGTAGGGGAGGGGAGGTTAGGCAAAAAAAGGGAGTTTTTTGGGCAAAAATAGAAAATATTTGCACGGATATCCCAGCAATTACTTACGGTTTTTTGAACAGTTCCCCTATCCCTCTGTCTCTTTGTTCCTCTGGAAAAAAGGGGATGGGAAGGGGTTCTGTGGAAGCGAACTCAAGCCCCCTTTTGGTGACTAAACTTTCCATGCTCTCTGTAATTTTAGAAAGCTAATTCCAGTCCTGCCCGCATGAAAGTTCCACTCTGCAACCAATCAACACCTACACACCGCCGCTTCGAGTCGGCTCTCGAGTGGATTCCCATCAAGTGGCGATCGACTTACAGGCAAAAAACGGAGATCGGAAAACCGTAAAACACCGAAGCAGCTGCGCGAAAAAAATCATTCAACCCGCTGCAAAAAAAATCGGGCCGAACATAACAAACAGCCAAAAAATAAAGGGGGAAATTCAATGCCGTGAAAAGGGTAGATGTAGATGGTGAGGAGAGAGGTCGGGTCGTCTGATTGAATGAATGGGACTGAAACGGGCAGCGAGACTGAGAGAGAGCCAAAGTCGGGAGAGTTCTGGGTTCGTTATCCTTGCCCAACATCGTCAAGGGAACACAATGCTGCTCCTGCTGCATCATCATCGCAATCATCATCATCATCTGACAGCCAGCCCGGCGCGCAACTGCAGCGTCAGGATACTAGTTATAGGGTTGGGATTTGGGGTTTACGCGGAGTTCCTTTAAAAAAATTTAATACAACGAACAAAAAAAAAACTGCAATGGGTGTTAACGGCTGCTGCGGCTACGCTGTTCCTGTTGCCCAGCCTGCCTGATGCCATCATGATGATGACTCTGCAGTAGATCTTGTTGAAAATCAAAATAATGAAACCAACTTCCGTTCTGTTTTCTCTCTGTGAAATTTGCTTCCGTTTTGTTTTCTCTTTATGAAATTTAATACGGTCTCTTAACGAAATTTTCATGTAGGAAAACCCGTTTCAGATGATAATTACCAGTTGGGAATCCATTTGATTACCTAGATCAGTAGCCTTTAATTGATTTTAAATTACTTGATGGATATTCTGAAAATTGCATGCTCCCCTCCACTGATATTCAAAACGATTCGATTTTGAATAACAATTATTATAATAAAATTAGGGAGGCTTATCTTTATTATTACGGTCCTTGATTCTGTCCATGAATAAACGTGTATCTCTAGTTGGAAGCTATGCCATTTTTCGTAGATGGAAAGCTATTGCAGTTCTAGATCCTGACGTATCCCTGATGGTATTTACATATGTAGATATCATCGGTCAACTTTGATTTGCACATGGAATCGGAACAGACATACATATGTACATGCATACCTATGTACATACCATATCTATGTATGTAAATGGGGCAGTTTAATTGACATTGAATTGTTAGTTAATTGTTGCATATATTAAGCGAAAATAAACATTTTTCCATCCTTAATTTTTACGTTTTGATAGCATTTTGTTAGCTCTATGCTTAGTGCAAATGATGGGGTTCATCGAGTTTTAGTTTTCGTAATATTTCCAAAAAACATGCGCTCGCGAACGTACGAAAAATATAAGTCGACTTTAGCTAAATCTAGTAAAATGCAAAAAAATGCAAAAATGCGAATTGGAAGGGAATATTCGAAAGCAATAAATTTAATTTTAAAGATGATTAATAGAGTATATTAACATAAAAAATTATCTCCATTCGTTTTTTTTAAATTTAATTAAGTACGATTTTTACATGTTTTTTTTTAAATTTGATATTTCCTTAAAAAACAAAATATTATATTGCTCCATTTTATCTGTGTTATAGCATTTATAACAAGAATTGAACATTTTCATTCTCTCAGTTGTTTTTCCGGCAATTCTTTTAACCTCTGTGGATCGGTGTTAATTTTATTGTTATATTGGGTACGTTTTTTACTTGTTTTAGCCATCTGCAAATATTTATTTTCGTGTTAAAATATAAAAAGTATAATTAAAAAACAATACTTACGGTCGCAAAAGTACGATACTTTGAAAATCAAAATAAAAAGTTTGCTTCATAGCAAGCCCAAAGTTTTTTATATTTAAATTGGTTACACCAAACATACTTGGCGCATTTAGTTTTAGCCACCTCATTGCATTCAAGGCGAAGCAATTACAATAAAATTATGTTTTCGGTCGCGAACGTCCGATTAGAACATAATTAAGAAGCAAAATTAAAATTAACCGTTAATTTAACTTTTTTCAGTCTCTTTGCAATTCAAAATAGCGCGCGCTGTTGGGATCAGTCTGGCAACACTACAAAAATTGTAGTTATTTTCTTAGTTGGCAGAGGGCGCACGTTTTCAAATAAAAACTGGAGAATGGGGCGCCTATAGCGGACTTTAATGTCATCATAAATTAAATTCCCGGCAGGTGGAGCTGAAGACAATAAAGTCTAGACAGAATGAAAACAGCTGGTTTCGGCAAGCAAACCAAAATTATATATATATATATAGATTACAATTCGTGTCCGTCTGCCGACTTGCACACATCAAACAAAAAACTTCGTGTCCGTGAGTCGACGTAAAAGAATCAAAAAAATAAAAAATAAAATAAAATAATTAAAAACTTGGAAATAGCTGCCCAAAATCATAAGATTTATTTTCCATCCACTAACGCCAACAAGCGATTAAATCACAAAAAAACGAGAAGCAACGTGTGAGTCGCTTCTGGGGACGCGACTCTACTTATACCCGTACTCAGTCAGTATATATGTACATTTTTGAGCTTATGATTTTTTAGAATTTTAGAATTTAAAAGAAAAAAGAAAAATTTTACATTTTACATTTTTTTGCTACATCTGTTATCTACATCTACTATGTATATTCGGTGGAAGCAACTGAAAATTAATTTCTTTATTCTGGCTATAATTATGATCCGATCTTATTTAGATTCGGCAATCTGGTATATATGTATGGTCATTCTCTACGATACTGCGTTTTCAGAGCCTGCCACAGATTTTCGTCCTTTGTGGGGGCGGGGCGAAATTTTGAAATACACTTGTAGCAGTGTGATATCACATGAGTCTGGAAACCAAATTTGATTGCCCTAGCTCTTATAGTCTCTGTGATCCAGGCGTCAAACAAGACGGACAGACGGACAGACAGACATGGCTCTATCGACTCGGCTTTTGATGCTGATCAAGAAGATATATACTTTATGGGGTCTAAAACGTTTCCTTCTCTGCGTTGCACACATCCACTTTTACCACAAATCTAATATACCTCTTAACTATTTTTTAGTACGGATATAAAATTATATATAGATTGCAGTGTTGCTAATGGTGCTTCTTTGGCTCCTAGTTCTTCCAGCCAAGTGCTTTCAAGTGAGGTTTGTATAATGATAACAGAGTTAGTCCTGATATATCAATTTTTTGTGCAGCAACTTATGAATGCAGCAACTGCGTATCATCTTGCAATCGGTGCAGTTCGCACTGCATAAAATGCAACAATTTGATGTGCGGCCAATGCGTCATTACAAAAGAAGTATTGTAAGAATTTAATTTCCATCTTTCTATTTCTAGAAGAAAGATTTTGCGACAAATGCGAAGACGCATAACATGGTAAGGACGCTGAGGACAAATACTTCAATACTTCAAATGTCGCACAGTGCTATGTCTTTATCAAACCCAAGAACACTTTTTATCATATAGTTCTTACTAAATAAGATTAATGAGAACTATTCGCTTAAAAGATGCTTCTTAGAGACTTGCATCATCTAGCAACAAATTGTCAGTATTTACCATAAGGCAGTAAAAGGAGATTACTCATGCCGTAATGCCACACACCCACAACACCGGTGACGTCATATTTCGCGTTTTATGAATGAGTTTTCATCATACCGGTTGGGTGGTTGCTAAAAGGGGGGGGAACTGGTGCATGGCATTCGAGCTTTCCAGAGGTTTAAGGTCAATGAGAGAGTTGTAAAGGAGGAGGAAGGTCAGGTCATGACACGTTGTTGCTGCAGGCGCCCCACACACACACCACCCTGGCACGCAAACGCAAACGCACACATTCCATTCGCTCATTTCAACACACCGTCTGTGTTTGCACTCTGAGCACTGTCATGCTCTCACGCTTCTATGGTACCTGCCTCTCTATCTAACTCTCCTCTCTCAGCCAGCCGACAGTTTATCAGATATTTTCTTTTGTCCAGGGCTTAATATTGTATATATAGAGAGACAGAGAGGCAGAGAGAGAATCGTGAAAGAAAATCGGCTGCGGTTTTGGTGGCAATCGTAAAGCAAATTATTCGTCGAACGCTGAACGCTGAGCAAGTTAGTCGAGTATTAACTTAGTCGTCTAGCCAGTCGCCTGGGTGCTAGTCGAAGAAAGTGGAAATTATGAAATAATTTTCAGCGCGAGTGCTATATAAAACAAACGAAAAAATTTCGTAAGATCATCTCGAGAATCGAAAGAAATACATATACCATAATTATTAGCCATGGCAACCGAGACTACCAAAATGGTGAGTTGAATCGATTTTGAAATCCATGTTAATTACTCGTGATTAGAAAGTGATTAGCTTTTTCCTGTTGATTTCTATTTAATTTCTAAAACGTGGCAGTATAGTTCTGCTAGAGGTTTCGGTTTTCTGTTTTACCTGCTTGACCTTGAACCTGAGTTTAGTTCGGGCCTAATTCGGGACAAGCCCCTTGGACTTTTAACGGCTTTATTCGTAGTGAACTGAACTGTTGGTTTATGGCCCGATAGAAATCGGGTTTGGCTGGACAGAGCGCGTGGTGGTTGGGTTAGGTAATAGGTTGTTATATAAACACACACACACATATGGACTGGAAGTCGTTGTTGATGGTGTTTTGAGGCTGTTTCCAAAGCTGGGCTTTGGAGACTTGCTACATCTAAGAACTGAGTTAGATCACGGAACCTATTATGATCGTTTTGATTGATTCCCAATCATTTTACTATCTCAGTTAGTACTGAATCAATCTATCAAGTGCCGCCATGTTGTTTGTCCACCCATTTAACAACCCATGACTATATTTCATTAATATAAACCAAATAGATATGTACGTACATATATGTATACACACATAGATATTATCTAACAGAAGTGATAGATACCATGCAAAATCTTGACAAATGACGCTGCTTTCTCTGCAGTCTCTCCCCCTTCATCTACTGCAGTGTGGAGCGGGTGTTAAGACATCTTGGCGTCGCTTCTGCATTATCTTTCTCGTGTCTGGAAAACCACCTGACCAAAAAAAAAAGTATGACGACACCAAAAGATAACAATATGTACAAAATTATTCACAGTCAGGCAGCCGAATAATTAGCAGCGTTTCTCAAGGTAATTAATAAAGAGGATTAAATTGCTTTACTTTTTGCGAACCCAATAAAAATTTTTATGGAAGAACAAATTAAAACACGTGCGATAACGTAATGTTCTGGATTTTTAAACAGAAGATAGGGATATAAACGGAATTTCGGGAACTACGCAGAAGTGCCCCTATATTCTTTAGATATCGTTTAAGTAATAAGTAACTACAAAAGTAGGGATATGGAAAAGTTTTATAAAATTCCTACGAAATATTTCATTAATCTTTACAATCTGAATATCATTATAATTTCATTCTATACATAATTCTGGTATGATCTCAGCCCAGACATTTGATTAGGCTAGCATTTGCTTTATCTGCCTTCTACCTTTATCTCGTTCTGATATAATTTGTAAACAATGTTTTATTGAATTGAGGTAAATCAAATTAATGGGACAATTTGTACATGTTCGATCGATGCATGCGGTTAGGCACAAAATATATCAATTTGATGGATGTTCGAGAACTAATAGAAACATTAGGATGCCTGTGTCCAAAGTTCTTTCAATTACCATATACACTGAGTTCAAAATCCAGAACTGTCCTACAGTAGTCAGAAGAAAAATGTTTGCACTAGAATTCAAAGTACATACTAGAGATATTTTTAGAAGCTTTTGCTTTTTGGCTTTTTGTTTATACGTATTTTGGCATATAATCTCCATGTTACCTTGAACAGAATACGCTGTTTTTTTTTTTTGTCTGCCCCGCCCCCACACGTGACATGAACTGACGCAAAGACAAACAATTGAAGACGTAGATACTGAAAATATATAGAAAGATATTCGAAAAAAATATGTACGCAATGTTCGGTTGAACTTTGCATTGAAATAAATCTCTTGATTACCTAATGGGACAAATAAAAACAAAGTTAATTTAATATCTCATTCTTAAATATGTTTATATTAATTCTTTAATGTGGGTCAACGGAACTTCTGTCTTGATTTTTACCTTGTTTTGTTTGCGAAAAAAACCAGTTGCAAATAAATAAAAGCTTAAACTGGTTTTCGATTAAGCGCTAAAGAGTTTCCTACGAGAGAGAGAGATAGAGAGAGTGTGTCTTCAGATCTTTATAAACTTCATCTTCAATTTGTTCGCTCCTGCAATTAATTGTCAAGTAATCAAAGTCTTATTTGGAGCAAAAATGAAATGAACTGGTTTGCGAATGGCTCTAGCACGAGTACTACATGTACTATATGCATATACATAGATAGTAATAGATAATAATAGATGGTAATATCTAAGAAATAGATTTAAGTACGCTATTAGTGTAGAGTAAATTCTCTAACTAATGACCAACTGTATAAACTTTTAGAGATTATTCCTAGCAAATGAATTAACAGCTTTTAGAACTCATATGGCAGCGTCATCCATACGTAAGTACATATGTATGTACATGCATACATTTTGGGACCTTAAGGATTTAATTATAATAATAATTACATACATACATATGTACTGAAACACATCTTTCAGTTCAGCTTTATATGTATGTACATACGGAATTTCATTAGCAAAGGCTCTTTCCAATTACCATTCAATTTAATAAAATTATCTCACTTAGTATATTTCCTGTAAAAATATGGTTATATTTATATGAATGTGCGGCTGGTATGCTACTGTATGCTTGTTTATTCAGCAAGATCAAAGAAACGCAAGAAATACATACATACATTTTTATTTATTTAAAAGAGATAGAATGGAGGTATTTTGCTTATGTAGTATATGCACTGCATACATTCTATCATCGACTTTCATTGTACTAAATAAATAGTTGATTCGTGAGCAAATCGTCCTTGTTCTCAATTGACTCGATCTAATAAAAAATGTATGGTCATTTTCCATTTGACTTTGAAAATCGTTTGCGTATTGATTTTTTTTAGACTTGTGTGCTGGTTATAGGAAGTTAGAGGTCTTGTCAGTATTGATTTAAGGCAATTATTAATAAATTTTTGTTGCATGGTTAAGATACACATTCATTCATACATACATATGTACTTTGTAAGAGCTACACACGTACATACATATAAATCATGTGACTACCTCAAACTCAATCACACTATTTCACAATGCCCAAATAGTGTCAGTTATTATCAGTATACGGAGAAAACCCCTCAGAGTGAAACATGTCAAAATCAGTTGACAGAACAACAAGGGTGTAGCCACTGGTGAGAGGGGGGAAGCTTCCCCCTTTATCATAATATTTAGTCAGAAACAAAATATTAATTGAATATTGAAACATTGAACATTGGCAATATTTTTAAGTGATTTTATGAGATTCAGCCATCCTCGCGAAATCCCGGGTTCGACCTTGCATGAACATGTCACTTTTTGTATTTTGCAGAGATACAGTCAAACTTCTCCAAGATGAATGACCATCTATTTATGGAAACTCTAGGTTAAATAAATATACATATATTAAAACTACATAAATTCGTATGTCCATATGTATGTACATATATGTACATATGTAAGATCCCTATACAGATCATATTTTAGTGAAATTTAAACTTATAGTTCCATTGAATTTGGACAATCAATTTAGCTTACGAAAATTCGACATAGAAGAGTTCCACTTAGAGATCGAATGCATCTGTACTTTATGTAAGAACGGAAAAAACTGGTTTGACAATGCATCCAATTCTGGACCGGCTACTTACAATACCCGTACAGCAAGCAACCTGTTGGCGACTTTCACCCCGTGAGGGGGGAGTGGCATTGAGAAAGTCGGCTTGCTCGTTGCACTTTGAACAAGTTCACCAGAAGAGACGAGACGAGATTGGGCCTGGCCTGTTGGTGTCCACTTGGCTGGGTGCTACAGCTGTCACATACACTTCCTGTCCCGCAACAAGTGCGCACTCGAGCCGCGTTTTCTTGTGTCGCCTCAATATCAATTAGCTCTTCGCTGCAATGCAGTATTGCTTGCATTTTCTCTCTAATGCAGGTAGCACAGGGCAACGTTTCTCCTACTCTCTCCCTTGCATACATACACAAGTATGTACATACGTACGTATGTGTCTGCTCTCACGTTGGCTCTCACGATTTTTGCCATGCTTGTTTTTGCCTGTTGCTTCTTGTCACTTTGTTTTGATTTTTTTCCGTCTGCATGCTGTTTGTTTTCTCAAAGTGATGGACACGTGAACAAAAGCAGCTGCAGGATTTAATTTTCTTATCTCTATTTCTACAACACAGTCGGAAAGTTCGATCTGCTCAAACTAAAATTCCTTAATTGAGGAATTGATAAAAACCCCCCTTTTCCTCTAGCAAAGCAAATAATATTAAACATAGCTATTTTAAATTATCCAAATGTAAATGTTCCACTCACGCTGCCGTCACTATTTCTCTCGCGCGCTCTCTCGACTTGCTGACAGTGCTGCCAGAATTTCAGAGTCAATACAAGCCTAGATTCGAGTACAAAATTGTATGCAAAAAAGGCTAAAAATATTGTGGTTGTAGTGTTTTTATTTTTATATATTAAGAAAATCGAAAACTTCAACATTATAATCTTCCCTTTGATGATTTCATTTTTCACATTTGAAATATCGAGGGTTATATTTTGCACGCAGCACATAAAGTAGACATCAGTGTCAAGTGGACTACAAATGGACAGAAACATGACACAATTTTCACAGAAAAGTAGTTTGGATAATTTGTATGCATCGATAAAAGCTAAAAATTATGTCAAATACACTTAAGGTTAAAACATAATGAATTCATTTTAAAAAAATTTCTAAGTGTACTAAAATAAAAAACATACAAAATTGTATAATAAATCTCTTTAAACACTGCTAGATGTTTCCTGAAATAGCTTAAACGACAGCACTGGTGCGGCCCACACTGACACACCCACACAGACTTAACTTGAGGAGAGAATATTAGCTTCTTTACTCTCTCTGCTGCTCTCTCTCTTTCACGAAACATATATATTCTTGATCAACATGATATCTGAGTCGGTTTCTATGTAAAAAAAAGTCTCTCAGTTTTGAAGACCTCAATGAAATTCGTATATAGTCGACAGTCATGAATTGAATGGATTTGTGGGAATGGGCCTTATCGGAACTTCAGAGCTTCATTTATAGGAAGGATCGGTGCAAACTGGGTTTTTTAATTCAACAAAAGGCTTGGATATTGGGAG